CGCTTACCACAGAGTGATCGGAAGTCACCGGAGGAGTCTTCTCACAGATTTAATGCAAGAAGATGTCTGTTGTTGTTGTTGTTGTTGTTAGAGGCCGCCCTGTGTACAGCAACACATCACTGCCCGGTCCTGTGCCATCCTCACAGTTGTTCTTAGGCAGGGCTCATTGTTGTAGTCACTGTGTCCACGCAGCTCCTTGAGGGCCTTCCTCTTTTCCGCCGCCCCTCCACTTTGCCAAGCATGATGTCCTTCTCCAGGGACTGGTCTCTCCCGACAACCTGTCCAAAGTATCTAAGAGGAAGCCCTGCCATCCTTGCCTCTCAGGAGCCCTCTGGCCGTACTTCTTCCAAGACAGATCTGTCTGTCCTTTCCAGGTCAGTGGTGCTTTCAGTATTCGTCACCAGCACCACCACTCAACACGCATTCATTCTTCTCCGGTCTCCTTATTCCGTGTCCAACCTTCACATGCCTATGAGGCCATTGAACATACCATCGCTTGGGTCAGGCGCACCTAGTACTCAAAGTAACAGCCCTAATTCTCAGTACTCGAAAGGGGTGCGGCAGTTACCTACTGCAACACATCTTTTGATCTCTTGACTGCTGCTTCTATGAGCAGTGATTACGGAGCCAAGCAAGACAGCCCTCTCAAGCTCAACACGTCCACGTTGTGTTTTGAGTCTCCCTCTTCATCTGCCTTCTGTCCCAAACCTGCGTTCTCCCTGTGTCATCGAATGACAGCTTCCTTCTTTCCAGTGCTCGGGCCTGAAACCTTGGTGCTTTTCCTTGCCTCTTCTCATTCCTTCATCCCCCACCTGAAGCCAATCACAGTATCTTGCTGACTCAACGTCAGATAGAGCCAGAATCTGATCTACAGAATGTAGCTCATCACTATCTACTGGCCCAGCCTCTGTTCTCTTAGCTGGGTAATTGCAGTAGCCTCCTCGCTCAAAGCCGTACACTGTGGGCCGTGTGAGTGAATGTGGACGTTGCAGAAAATCTGGCAATAGTCAAACGTTACTGAAGGCGCAGTGACCTACATTTATTTCAAAATCAAACACGTAATGAATCCAAGGTGTTTCTGGAAGTGCTTGCCCCATGTTGCAAATTTCTGGGGTAAAGAGAGGTCGACAGTGGAAAAAGTGTAAGAAGCCCCTGTCCTCACTAACAGTGACTTAAAACCGGCAGAATGTGTCGCTCCGCTCAGCGCCCTCTACTGGCTCTGGTCTCACTCCAAAGGAAAGCCTGCAATACCTCCTCCTCTTCCCGAGCGTCCCTTACGCTGTGCCCCATCTTTGGGGAATCGCTCACTTGCTGATTTCGTTGAGCACAACTAGCTCCTGGCGGATCTTGGAATACAAGGCACTTGCTGAACCGGCCCTTTGTATCTTCTGTCTCTCTGTCTGAAAGGCTTTCCCCACAGACCTTTCTACCTCCTTCAAGCCTTTGCTTCATTGCCACCTTGGTGAGGCCTGTCCTTGACCCTCCATTTGAAATTGGACCGTATCTCCTCCAGACCGCTAGCATTCCCATGCCCCTTTCCCTGCTTGGTCCCTGTACCAGACGCTCTCTTTTGTATCTGCTCACGATCTGTTTCCTCCACTGTAAAATGGGAGGAAGGTGAACAGGAGGACTCATGTCAAGGACCCTTGGAGGGTGACTATGGGGCGCTCCCTGAAAGCAGCTGCGGAGCTTGCTGTCTGCGTTCATTCCTTTGTTGTCATAAAACCATGTGCTGGGAAACGGGGTGTGAAAGGATCCTCTGAAAACGTACTCTCTATCGGAGGGCAGGAGAGGGCGGGGCCTTTCTGTTATTGCTTGCCAGGTCCGCAGCAGGGAAGGAGCCCGGTACACTGGTCTGAAACACTGCCCCGCCCGACTGGCCAATTTGAAGGCAAATTTAGAGCCGTCAGAGTTGAAGTTCAAAAATGAGAAAGGATAAGGGTTCCCACCTTCATTGTAATCCAAGTGTCGCACGTGGGTCTGGGAAACAAGTGTGTCCGCTCATAAAGAGGCAGGAAATACTGCCTTGCTGCAGTGGCACAGCTCTGTACTGTAAATGGTGTGCTCCGGGCAGGCGCAGGGCTGTGGGGAACGGGTGCTAGTGACATCAGCCCACTTCCCATGGTGATGATTTAGCCAGTTGATTTGTCCCCGACTCTCAGACCCACTGGCTGTAAATTACCTCCTTCACTTTCCAGCTTGCCACAAGCAAATGATTTACAGCCAGCGAGTGAGTACTTTATTTCCAAAAGGGAACCTATTTTTCTCATCGTGCTCCATTCATTTTGAGTGCTCGCTTGTCGTTATAATCACTCACTTTTCAAGCTGACACCCCAGATAACCACCCACAAACTAGTGGAGGCCGCAGCCTGCCCAGCCTTAGGGAGTCTGGGTTGTTCTACTTGGAGCAGATGGGCACCTTGCCCTTGGTTCACTCATTCGGCGAGTAGTAACGAAACACCCCGTACATGCCCAGCTGGTACTTTGTTATCTTCACCAAGCTTACCGTTGAGACACCTAGATCAAGCCTTACAGTTCCCCAATGGGCAGTTAGGTTGTCCAAGAGCACGCAGTAGCCATACAGGCTAATCAAACACTAGTGAGTGATAACGTCAAAGGCCGCTTTGAGGCGTCAGCAGGGTCATGCGCAGACACGCTGGCTTTCTGACACTCACAGATGTTGAGGTGTATGGCGCAAACCTGCTTTAGATGACTGACTAGGCGTCCCAGGGGAGGCCTGGTAGCATCGTGGGTTATGTGGTGGCTGCTACCTGCCAGGTCAGCCGTTGGAACCCCCCTGCCAGTGCACAGTTGAAAGGCGGGGAGTCTAGGAGGCCCACAGGATCGCTGTGAGTTGGAGCTGGACTCTGGCAGTGAGGGGTGAATGACCTCGCCCTCACGAGTGTACCGCTCATACACGCCCGGGCTTATCCAAGCAAAACCTGTTTCAACGTGCCTCTGCCATCAGTGGCTGCTGCCAGCAAGCTCTCTCATGAGACAGCCCTTATCCTCTGAGCAGGGTGCCTCAGATACAAAGGTCCAGTCAATGCTGGGCGGAGAGGTCAGCTCACAAGGTCCTGGTGTCTGTCTGGGATCCCAGTGAGGTCGTCTTGATGGAGTGTCTCAGAAGGACACGGGACGATCGTGGGCTTGTTATGAGGATGTTTGCAGACAAACATAAACTGCCACGATGAGCAAAAGGTCAGGGCAATTGTGCATTCCCATTGCGGCAATGTACCTGCTCATTCACTGAGGTCACGGATGGCTGTCCTCTTGAGAATTTTGTTGGGAAACCTTACCCCAACCATGCTACAACTCTGACCTTGTGGACTGCTGTTTGTGCCCCCAATTCAAAGAACATTAGAAAAGAACACAATTTGAGCCCTTGAAGGGTGCCCAACCCACCTTCTTTGATGTGTACCTCCCAGAGCTGGGCATTCTTTGCGGAGGGTGAGGGAGAGGGGAGGCCACCCACCACCTGCAGAGGCCCACGGAGCTAGATGGAGGATGCGCTGAGATCCCGCCACACCGAGGCAAAACACCAAGGGGGTGCAACAGAACAACAAGGGAACGGAGCGGCGAGGTCCCCAGGGAATGCCGAAGGTGGACTTTGGGGCCAGGGCTTGGTGCCCCAACAAACTGGACTGGAAAACACTCCTAAAGGCCAACAAACAGTCCTTGAACTGACTAAAAAAGAGAGAGAGAAGCAGGAGGGAACATTTTGATCCTGGTTTCATAGCAGTCCTTTGGGGCTCAACCAGATAGGCTCTGTACCTTGTCCTAATTGTGTTTGGCTAGAACAGTGGTTCTCAGCCTGTAGGTCGCGGCCCCTTTGGGGGTCAAATGTCCCTTTCACGGGGATCACCCGATTCATCACAGTAGCAAAATGACAGTGATGAAGTAGCAACAAAAATAATTTTATGCTTGAGGGGTCACCACCACATGAGGAACTGTATGAAAGGGCCGTGGCATTAGGAAGGTTGAGAACCACTGTTCTAGAAGCTTTGAAGAAGTTTATCTCTGTTCAATCAGAGTTGAAGGAGGCCATTTCAAAACAGACAGGGAAAAACATTTTCTTCTTATAACATGCCTTCAGCTTTGGCAACCGGGGACAAATTTTGTAGCGCCGAAGCCCTTCATTTCTGTTCGGGAGAGGTTTTTGCTGGCACCCTAATTACATTTTGTCTGCAGCATTGAAATCATGACTCTGGAGTGAGCATACAATATGGAATGATGAGTGTTCACCTCAGCGACTCTGATGCATTAGGAGATCTGTTTCCGAAGAAGTTCGCTCAGGGGCGTACGTCTTTACAGTACCTCAGGAACTCAAGTGTGGGTGCGGCTCCTTACGGTGAAACAGATGATGAGGGAGTTGTTGCCTTCTGGAGGGAGCTAGAGAAGCCAGGTTTTGTTTTGTTTTTTTTTAATGGAAATTTGGAAGTGCTTTTAAAAAAATGTAACGAAGGAAAGAAAGGTAAAGAGGAAGAGCGGAGGAGCAGCTGAGACTCAGGCGTGTGAATTCCCGTGGCCTCACAGGCTTGCAGAGAGGCGATGCTGGTGAGTCTGAGCATCTCTAATCACCAAGCAGCGTTTGATACCGAGGGAGTGAGCGCCACAGTCCCTCACCAGGACGGTGGCAAAATGAAAGCACAGTTTGAAGAGCCCGGGGCATTGCAGGGAGGGAGGGTGGCAGAGCAGCACGGCAATACCACAGAAGCGATCCTCCAGCCTGCTGGAAGCAATTGCATTTAGAGCCCAGAGGACCGACTTGTTCTTCCCAGGGGCCGAGATGAAACCTGGAAATAGGCGGCTTCAAGCATATTAAATGTGTTGATCATCTGCTTTATAAAAAGAAAAGTTGGAATGACCAGCTGGCTTCCTGAGTCTGGCTGAACCCTAACAGGGCTTGCGTGCTTCGTTAGTAGCATTGAGAATGTGTAAACCCAGAACACCGGTCCTCTTTTTAAACTTCCATGCCCCCCCCCCTTTTTTTTTTTTTTGAAATCTGGACAGGACTTGCTTACACTGGGCCTGTAAGCGCAACCACGGCCAGGTGGTTTCCTACCTGTTACAGTCGGGAGCCGACAGAGAGATCCTCACCACAAAGGGGGAGATGCCAGCTCAACTGACGTCAAGGAGAGAAATCAGGAGGATCATGGGAGGTGAGTGGGTGTTTGGGGCCACTCTGGGTTCCATCAGGCCCACTGGAAAATATGTGGTATTGTTGGCTGGGTTCTTGATGCCCATCCAATAGCCGGTCTGTTTCTAAAGACTGACTACCGTGTCAAAGTCATCGTTCCATGTTTTGGGAAAGGATGGCCAGGGAGGGTGGCTCTGATTTGAATCTGTCCAATTGAAGACAGTAATGAGAATGGTCATCACACCCCCAAGGAGCTCTTCTTTCTCCTTGGACTGGAGGAAGCAACGAACACTGACGAAACTATTTGTCACGTACCAAAGGAGAAGGGCTTCTAGGATTGCACAGCGCTTAACGTATTCTGACCATCGAATTGTGTGGTACTTGAATTATACGCCAATAAAACTGTTAAGAATGACATGAGCGCTTCTACTAGAGAGGCTCTTTCTTCCTTGGGACACTGTAAAGGGTCTGTAAATGCTGTGCCTCTGCTTCTTTTCAAGTCGAAGAGGATGGCGAGGACGATGGCAGCCTCCCCCAGCTGAAGAAGGAGTCAGAACTGCCCTTTGTTCCCAACTATCTGGCCAACCCGGCCTTCCCTTTCATATACACCACGGACGCAGAGGATGCTGCCCAGCTGCAGAACGGGGGCCCCTCCACACCTCCGCCTCCTGCTTCACCCCCTGCAGGTGGCACACCCCCACTGCTCCCTGCTGGGGAGGCACCCCTGCTAGGGGTCTTTCCTCGGGAGCACACCTCGTTGGCCCTGGTTCAAAATGGGGACGTGGCTGCCTCCGCTGCCATACTCAGAACACCAGAAAGCACAAAACCGGGGCCTGTTTGTCAGACCCCCGGGAGTCAGAGCCGGTCCCTGTTCTCTTCCGTCCCGTCCAAGCCGCCCGTGTCTCTGGACTCTCAACATGGGACCTATGCCGGACCGGCACCAGCATTCCAGCCGTTTTTCTTCACTGGAGCATTTCCATTCAATATGCAAGGTAAACCGCCTCCCTCGGGCCTGTGGGGCGCAGGGCATCCTTCCTGGGGTTTTGGTCGTGTGTGCATAGGGTATAATTTATATATATTTGGCTGTGACTATCTCCCATAAATGTTGCAAAACTAATGTAAGGAGCTCCCATTACTCAGATTCACAAGTGGTTTACCTTGTACTCTTTTGCACAGAATTAGGGTGTGTTTCCTAAGGACAAGGGTGTTCTTGTCTAGAGCCGTACGTAGCCTGATACCAAATCTAGAAAATGAAACCTGATGTAACCCTGCTGTCTGACCCCTAGTCCATATTTAAATGTTGCCGATTCTCGCAGCAGTGCCCTGACTACCCCCGCCCCTCCCTGCTGCTCCCCAGGGGCCAAGCCAGGATGACTGCATTTAGTTAGCTGCCAGGTTGGGTAGTCTCCTGTAACTGGGAACATCCCTTAGCCCTTGACCTTGATCGCAGTTTTGAAGAGTCTGGGACAGCCATCACGTAGAATAGACTTTGGGGTCCATCTTTACTAGGTGGTGGTGGTCTACTGAAAGTTGAGCTTCCCCTTCCCCCATGTACCTCAGTCTGGCCTCACGGACTCTGATTTTTCAGCAGGCTTTCACCCCTGTCAGTGTCGTCTTGATGTCCCAGTGCTCTCCCATGTGGCCGGCAGGAGTCTCCTCTAGCTGGCTCCAGTGTCTCTGTCGTGTCTCCTTCAGCCCCTCCGTTCTGGTGCCCCAGGCTCATAGTAAACTCTCCCGTCCCGCCCTGGCACCAGCCATTTCTCCAAGGAGCCCAGGTCTTTGTGGATGGAGACTGGGTTACATAAACCAGGATGTGGGCCCCAGCCGTGCCTCTTGTCACAGGATGCCATTTCTCTAGACAAAGTGCCTCTCCCAGAGAAGTCAGGAAACAAATACACAAGCTAATAGACAAACACATATATACATTTATGTTTACATATCAACGGAGATCTATTTTTCTGTCTGTTGAACTCTGTTGTTCATTCTCCAAACCATGAGTTCATCCTGATAGCTCTAATTCCATTCCAATCCCACAGTCTAGTCTTACCGTGCTCTTTGCCCTGGAATTAACTCTCACTTCCTGTTGTTAAGGGCCTGCTGATATGAGAGCTAATTGGCCAGAAGTGCTATGGTAGCTTCATGGATGAGGAGCAAAACAGAACTGCCAAATGCACATGGTTACCTGGCTTGGGCCATCTTGGCAACCAGGCTCAGACTCCAAGGGCAGACCGTACAGGGCCTTTACCTAGGATAATCGTTCCCAAAGCCCACACTCTCCCATCTTAAGGACTACTGCACTCCGATCATAGGCCGACTTACCTGTGTACTTCCTTGTGTTTATTCCAAGGAGTTTACTATCTCTTAAATCCCTCTAAATATACGTTTGTCGTCCCCCCACTTACAGTAACTCATGTGCCCTGCCTTTCCTTTACCTGCTTTCCAACCTCTTCTCCTTCCCATTCATGTGCAGCTTAAACTGGAACTCGTTTGTTCCTAAGCCTTTACTCCTTTGAAGGGTAATGTGAATAACGTGAACCTTCCTCACTCCAACGGGAGCCCTGGTGGTGTAGCGGTTACAGGCTGGGCTCTGATCTGAAATGTCTGCAGTTCAAAACCACCAGGAGAAACCTCAGGAGAAAGACAGGGCTTTCTAACCCTATACCAGTTAGTCGTAGAAACTCAGGGGCAGTTCCTGCCCTGCCGTATAGGGTGGCAATCAGCATCGACTCGATGGCAGTGAATTTGGGTTGGGTTTGGTTCCTCACTCCTGAGATGACCCTACCCACCTTTTTATGCTGGACCACAGTCTTAGCTGTCGGACAAGCTGACACTGGGGCCAAGCAAACCCTGCTGGTGATGCTTGCCTCCTCACTGGGGGCACCGGCGTTGGGAGGGGGAGTGTGGGGGACAGGACTAAGTGTTACCATCTTCTGGAGAAGAACCAGCCTTACATGGACTGTCCCGTGCCGGAACCGGCCAGTAACACCCCGCGCTCACACACCCCCTTTCCTCCCCCTTAGAGCTGGTACTCAAGGTGCGGATTCAGAACCCTTCTCTTCGAGAAAATGATTTCATCGAAATTGAACTGGACCGGCAGGAGCTCACCTACCAGGAATTGCTCAGAGTGAGCTGCTGTGAGCTGGGCGTTAATCCAGACCAAGTGGAGAAGATCAGAAAGTTACCCAATACTCTGCTGAGAAAGGTAAGAGAGACCTGTGCAGCAGGGATGGTTGCTCTCTGTGTGTGGAGAACACTCAGCTGCCTTCGTTGGGTGAGCCACAGCTGAAGAAGTGTGAAGGCCTCTTGGGCTCTTTACCAGTGTGCTCAGTCACCGAGCTTTCTGGCCCTGGGCTGGGGCTCCAGGGACACGGGCATTTTTGGGAGCTGGAGGCCACCAGAGAGTGATTGTCCAGGCACAGGTACCTATTTTCAGATGTGTTACGAGATGAGAACCTAGTGAAACCGCAGGCAGATCCACTTAGCCCACCTGCCCTTCAACGAAGCCACCTCCTGTACCTCTGTTCAGTAGGATCAGAGGGTTTTGCTTCGTAGGTTTTAAAATGAGCCAGCCCAGACATTAACAGCACCCCAAACGTGTCGACAAATGGCTCCTCTTAATCTGTTTAACCTATTTCTGCTTTAGGACAAGGATGTTGCCCGACTCCAAGACTTCCAAGAGCTGGAACTGGTTCTGATGATCAGTGAAAACAATTTTCTCTTCCGAAGTGCGGCGTCCACCCTGACGGACCGGCCTTGCTACAACAGGAGCGCGTCAAAGCTGACTTACTGATGCCGCAGGACCCTCGTCACCAAGGGTGGTGTGAGTGCCTGTCACCTTTGGGCCAAGAAGCCATTGATCTGAATCAAGGCTAGTATCCTACACTTCTGCCTTGGATGGCAGAGAGTGCCCCGGTGCCCCTGCATAGTGTACACTAACACCACCTGCCAAGGTGGGAAGCCCCAACCCCCATGCAGTGGTGCCGCCCTCGCCAGCCTCTTGGTGCACAATAAACCCACCTCCCCGAAGCGCCCAACAGCTACGCCGAAACCCGGAGAGGCCCGAGCCCCAGGGTCCCTTCTAAGTGGCCTTTCCATAGCTACGGTGAGAGTGGGGCCGAAATTGAGCCTCTCCTGTGGCCGGCGCACTTGACAGACTGGGACGGCCGGGCGTGGTGTTGCATGCTTCCAACTCCTGAAATGTGAACGGCCCAGAGGGCAAAGCCGGTTGTGGACAAACGACTTTTAGTGTCTCGTAGCTGTGAGGTTTCATATAACATACTCATAAATGTTACTCAGGTTAAAAGTATTTAAGAATACAGTTACCTAATTGTAAATAGGCTGTTAACCAAAAGAGCCTCCCCTCCCTCGCCCTGTCCTCTGTAACACTCGCGATTGCATCCCCTGTCCAGTCTGCCATCAGCGTCCAGTCTGCCATCCCCTGTCCAGTCTGCCATCAGCGTCCAGTCTGCCATCCCCTGTCCAGTCTGCCATCAGCGTCCAGTCCGCCATTGTTCTGGTGGCGGCTGGGCAGTAGCTCCCCTTCGTGGCCACTAGGGGCCCCCCTGACGCTTCCGACAAGCGCAGCGCCCCAACCCCTCTGGGAGCGAATCCTGCCATCTACTTGTTTAATTGCACCAGAAAACAATGAGCACAAATATTGCCGGGTCCGTGTTCTCCACTCTTATTTTCCACTGGGAATGAAAAGCAATTTTTGAGACTTGACTCTGTTGCTGTTTTAAAGGTTATTGTGGGAAACTGAGCTAAAGGAGTTAGCATCTTTATTTTTGTATCAAAGATAAAGGTTATTTTGAAATTATTAGGATTTTTACACAACTCTGAAATCTGTTTGCTTTTGTAAACTAATTGTTTGACCTAGGGATTTCTTACCCACCCTCACTCCCGTCCCGGCCCCGCCCCCACCAATCCACTTAACTCAATTGATAGTCTGCGAGACTTAGTCCTAAAATCAATGGCAAAACAAAACAGAACACCAACCCTGATTAAACTCTGAGCATGCCACAAAGATTCTCCGTCCTTCCTTCTGTGTCCCTCGTGAAAAGAAAAGCCCCTGTCCTGCTGAGGGGCCACAGCAGGGTCTCCCAGCCAGCGGTCAGCAACGCAGGTCAGTGCATCCCTGGGGCCCTCGGGCTTTTCCCTGTAGTGCCTATCTTCCCAACCACACAGAACTGTGTTAACTTCATTGTGTGGGAACACTAGCCCAGGGAGAAGATGCAGAAGGTGTCAATAGCTAAGCTCATGGCCTCCTGCTGCTGCCTAAATGCCCAGGGGTTTTCCAAGGCCAACTTCAGGGAGTCCTGCTATTTAGTGAGTTAACTGTATTCCACCAATTACTTTCAGGAAGAGAGCACCCTCATGTTTCAGCCAGTCGGAAGCCAGCTCACCTAGGTGTACTGGTGAGTGGGGTTGGGGGCGGGGTGTGTGTCTTTGTTTTGCAAAAAAAAGCTTGTTTCTATCTTGGGAAAAATAAGTTCAGTATTCATTCATTCATATCTGATTTACTGGGGCTAAAACTCCATGCTGATGATATTATTTAGAGACTCAGAAACAGTGGAAGCCCCTGGCAGGGAGGAGGGTGACAGAATTAACCCGGTCTTACAAAGGCTAACCCAGGTTAGGGTGCTGGGCAGGCCTGGGTTGGCCCCGCCCGGTACCGGCTTCCCTTCTGCGGGATAAAGGCGTCCCCAGTGTTTCTGCAGCCGGCAGTGGGGCAAGGGCTCACAGATGTTGGGGGAGATGGAAGTCTTAATCTATGCATTCAGAGAAATATTTTTATATGCTTTGTGTAATTTATAACAAGGATTTTTTTTAGCTTTGTTAACTGTGAACTCCCCCCTCCTCCCCTGCATATGTGGAGCATGTGTTCACACTGTGTGTAAACAGTCACTGGGGAGTTTTTCTCTTCATCGCTAACGATTCCAATAGAACCAGCGTTATTAAATGAACTATTAACCGACCGTGCCCATGGTCCTTCATTCTGGTTTCCGGGCTAGTCGCAGCTGCTCAAAAAGACAGGCAAGTCCCAAGGAAGCCGGTCACCACCTGAGCCGCCTGTGTCCCTCCTCGGCTGCTGCCGCACCCCAGCTCTGTCCCCCGCCCCCATGCACCCCGTGGCTCACGGCAGTCAGCTTCATTTCCTCTGTGAAGCTGCACCAGCTAGATGGAGGTCACCCCCTATCAGCCATGTTTTTGAATTATCCTACTCACTTTGCACAACGGAGCCTCTCCTACGAGCGCTCTGCTGCTGTCAGCGCCGCCTTCAGCAGCCACATGGAAGCTCACTCCCTGCACCTGGGCA